AAGAAAACAACTTCATCTTGAAGTGGTCAACAAACAATAAATATTGCGTAGTAAAACGTCCTCTAATAAACAATTTTTGAAATAAAGTTCTGTTCTTCTACGGTTGTTGTTTTTTCTTGAGGTTGCTTGAAAGACCCAAAAAGTTTTAACGATTCAAACTCAGTGCACTTACTGTAAAACGAACCCTTTGGCTTAGTATAGTCTATGATGCTCTCCAGACCCCCCTTTTGCAACTCAACCAAGTGGATAACTGCTCCGCAAACCTTGTTTGTTCCTGTGAATATTTTTGATGACCAGTTGCAGTCAAAGCTCGCGCTTTACCTGAAGCATTGTTTGGGAATATTTCAGAACTTTGTCGAGTTTTTTGTTCAGAGGTTTGGAAACATTCAAAAGCTTCGTCAAATCCCTCACTCACGCAGCTTTTAGACTCCCCCATTCTCCGTCCGATACGCCGGGGTCAGCCAAAGCATCTTTTTGCTAAATTCGTATCTTGGAGTAAATTAGAGCAGGCATTCAGGTCATTTACATTGAAACTCTTCAAACTTCTGCAGGTCGAAGATTTATTACTTCGTGGTCCACTCGCCTTCTTTTAGTATCAAATACCAAAATAATTATGAACTAAGTCAAAACCGTCCCAATACAAATGAAACCCTTTCTTGACTTTTAGCGTTCTTCTGAGTAGCCCACAAGCAAATCTTCTTCTTTCCCCTTTTCTTTTCCATGTCACTCCAATGCCATAGGAGTTGTGCCATATGTATGTTCAAAATGCATATCTCATTCACTCTCAATGTGTCCACGTTCGAAAGAAACCGAGCCGCTATTTTTTGGTTATAGTAGTTTGCAGTTCAATCTCCGTCTTTAAATCATTTTCTTCTTTAGGAAGAGAGTCTTCTCCAAGTTCTCTTCCTGCCCCTGTTTTTTTGCGGTCTCTGTCATTCCTTGTTTTGTACAGAAAGTTAGAGTGCTTGTTGTTGCACTTGTTTCGGGGTCGGTGCGACATCGAATTTTTCAAAAAGTTTCTTCGAAATTGCCTCCCAAACGTCTTTTCTGTGCTCGTTTGCGGTTAAGAAACGGTTACTCTGACTTAAGAATACTCTCATGAGCACCACGTTAGAAATCCGAAGCTTTGCCAGTCAGAGGTTTTGTTCTCTTATCATTGGCCACGCTGCGATCTGAATGGTACATTCAATTTGAGCATCCAATGTCTTATTCTTGAGTTATTATATGATTAGTACACACTAGCAGCTAACTCAATCTTGTCCTCACGATAGATTGGAGACTTGCTAGGATGTAGTGACAGCCCATAGCTCATAGCACGTTAGAAAAATGTCAAATTTCGACTTACTGCTCAGCGAGGTCTCTCGCTGTCAAAAGTTTTGAGCCTCTTGCCTCTGCCTTTACATAATTGTTGGGCGGTATCTATCAACACTGGAAGGGGTTCCTGTACAGGTAACAGCCCGTACAGGGGCGGGCACTGGCGCCTGCGATACTCGAAGGCAAGCTGGTGATGGGCCTATGTCTATTACAGAATATAATCCGATGGCATGTTTGGCCATCTAGGGCACGGCAATCGGGGCTAGAACCAAATCCCGACAGCTCGGGCTCCGCGCAGTGCCGTGCCCGACATAACCAAACTTGCCATCGGACCATTCTGTTGATGAATCACCGAAATGGCGCTCTCGCCTGTCCAGGCACTCGTTAATAATAACCCGAAGAGCGAGTCGGAGATTGTTAAATGCCGCCCCTTGAGTTGATCGTAACTCAAGAACGCATAACCTACTGATAACACGATAAAATATTATAATTATCTGACCCTATTTTAACACGATGTGAAACCAACACAACATTGTTTGAAACGAAAAAGTCTAGAATGAATCAAGCATGAAACAAGTATGGTTTTTCAGTAGTTACTTGTTTCATAATTTCGTATGACCGATTCAACTGAATGGCTGTGAGAAGATGATCATGCTCACCACGATGTAATCACGACTGAACCATCACATTTTTGGTTTTCGTTCACCGGTTTCAACCAAATTACTACCACTCCTGATTTCATTTGTTGCGTGCATCTGTTCGATGCACAAGCAAATCATCTCTTAGCAAACAACTAACTTCATATCCTCTTTTGTCCTTGAGATTTGATCGATGTACCGAAAATGTAAAATCAATAACAATCTCTAAGCCCAGGATTTTAAGACTTAGCCATGATTTAATTATGAAAACGACGTTTGTACGAAAACGGTAGGAGAAACTAGAGAACTACGAAGGTAATGCAATTATTTACTAAACTTTTCAATTCAAAAGAGAACACGCTAAGCTTACTAACACCTGACATACCTAAGGGAGGAAACTCCCCAAAGTCCCATTTTTTTGTTGAATGAGACCTTGAAGAGTTGTTATATATGTTTGATTCTTCCCTATACATCACCCACTCTTCGAGCGTTTTCCCTCGTTTCGCTGACCCAACTCAGGATCTAGCTTCCGCAGGGGTCATGCTTTTACGCAGATACACACTGGATAAGAGAGTGACATAAGAAGTAGCATTTTGAAGAAGCTTGATACCACACATGACGCGAAGGAAAGCAGTTTGACAAGGCAAGCTTTGCCTTTAATTGTCTGGCCTATGCGATAATACTCACTAGGCTATGTTTCGACGTGGGGATATTTGACCTGGACTTTGGATCACCATTTCGATGATCTCATTCATAGAAATGACATTGTAGTTTATGTCGCCGACAACTTCGCCGTAGCAGCCTGAACATTTTGGCCTCTGTTTATCATCAAACTTCTTTACTCAGAAGTCGCCTGAGAGACATAGTGCGCGATGACATTATCAATCGTAGACCGAGAAAAATGTGTCAAGGGAAGATTTAATTGGAACCAAAGAAAGAAAGCTTTCAAACAGAGATAGGATAAAGAACGAAAGGAAAAGCGACCGCTTGCTATGGCAGCAGGCTCAACACTATTGATTGCTATCGTATCATATTTGGCCTCGTTTGCGGCAAATCCCCAGAAAAGGTCATGTTGAGCGGCTCAGCTCTGAGACGTTTTTTGTGTTGAACGCGCTGCGTGAAGTATTCTTGTCACTAGACGAACAACGATGTAGGAATGGAGCTCAGAAGTGCACCGTTCAGTTACTGAGTCTTTAGCGGCCGACCTGATGGAAGAACCAAGAACAGTATAGACTGAGCCCGTAACATCTTCAGCACTGGACCACGCTTTTTACCGTGCTAAATCCTAGATCGCCCGGCCTAATTTATGAGTCTTACAATTTCATTTTCTTATTGTGTACCTTCTATTTTGTTGTTCAATTATATACGGGAAGCAGCCGAAAAGAACGAAGTCTTATAAAGTGCCAAAGGGACCTCTGCGAATATTACTGCCTCCGGCCGCACTATTGAACGAAGACGGGACTCCGACTTTTTTCCGATATAAGAGAAACCTATCGCGAAGAACTTTTACAACAACTATCCCGCTCATCAACACCCGTGCCGATGCCCGTTGTTCCCAAGAGTTGTAGTATCAAGCAAATTACCTGCTAGAATGTGTACCCTTTAGACCATGAAGATGAATACTTCAGGACCAGACCATCCTTCCGTCGAACTTTTACAAGCCTAAGAACAATGTCTACAGAGCTCGCGTCGCATCTAACATCTTACCTTCAAACAGAATTTCTGACTAATAAAGAACTCTAGGAATCATCATTCTCTTAAAAAGGGCGAACGCGGGAGAATCTTAGAATTCGGAGGGAATCTTTAAGCCAAACAACATGGCTTTGCACTGCCAAATTTGCGCTTTGCATGCGCGACTTCCTACCAAAATAACGATTTTCAATGGCTTTTAACTTTGCCCACATAGCGCTAAGTAGTTAAAGAATACAGATTCGACGTCGCCGTTTTATGCTGCATCTAATGTATGGCAGCTTTTTTTGGAATGGCCACTTCGATTTCTGACCAGTCCCCTGTTAAGCATGGATGGTTTTTAATCACAAAATGAAAAGAACGGACGTGAATGAATACTACGAACATCAAAGATTTCCTTTCGAGGCCCTACGCCCCGAGCACCTCTAACGAGATGAGCAAACATGTATTGTGGGTCGGATGAAACACTTGAGAAACCACCTAGATACAATTTCTGCACCTGGAACTCGTAGACGCAGCCACCGACGACATGCAAATAAATCGTGGATGTCCGAAGCGAGGGACGGGAACAAATGGGAACTACTGAGCAGAAGCCCGCGTGCCGCGTGAAGACAGACATTGAATTTCTGGGCATCTAAGTACCATATATAGTGGTCTATTCTATTTTAGTCGAGTCTATTCTATTTTAGTTGCACTGGTACAGGAGATGTGTTTGTTAAAATGGCCGCGTAGAGTGGACATGCCAAAGTGCACGTAGGTAGTGGGCGCAGAACATTCTAGGGTTCATTGTTGGTTGTGTAGGGCAGTCGAGCATGGCTAGGGGTGCTGAGCCATCAATCCAAATCACTGCGAGTTCTAAAACGATAGTTAAGCGATTATAATATATATTAATGACAGTAACGATGATAAACGATAAAGGTCATGAAACACCGCAAGCCTTCGGAACGATGCCTTTTTCGCAAGTTGATTCGCTAATACAAACTATTAGCAACAACTTCATCAAGCATTCTCTCCATTCTGATGGTGTAAGGCCTCGGACAGAGTTCACGCGATCTGATCGTCGCGTTTCAATCGCCGCGATTTCCATTCATTTTCATTTTACATTCAAAAATTTCGAGCTTGAAAAGTATCACAACCGAAATGCAAGCTGATCGGCATGCAATGAACTCGTAACGGTTGTGTTGTAGCGATTGAATTGTCTTTGCCCGAGGCCTAAGGTGATATTTTGAGAATTGACTACCATTAGTACAATGTAGCTTTTCTGAGAGAGAGAGAGAGACTTGGCAGTTTTCGAATCAGCGGAAAAAATCTGACAGACCGTTTTGCAAAACTTAGGGGCATAATGTAGGTTGTGTTCAGAACTTTTCCAGCACATGAAACTCACGTTCTCGTGAATTACATGGAAGGAAACTGCGACGATGGGGACAACTTGTGCGGATGCTACGTAAGTGAGTAGCGGTCGATCCTAAGATATTGAAGGTACATATTTGAGTGGAATAAGATTGAGTACAATCGAACAAAGTTATCTGAGACAGTCACCAAATTGAGGCTGGCGAGATCTTAGTGTGAAATAAAAGCGGCGGGCCCCTAAATGACAAGTGTAGCCTTTTTAGTCGAGATAGTTACACATATGACACCTATATCACTAAACGCGTCCTTGAACGTTAACCCAAATCTTCTTTCCTTTTTTGCCGAACGCCTATTGTAAGAAGTGATGATTATTTAAGAATTTTGTCGTGCTCTTAGTGGCAAGAATTAGCGAAAAGCTGTACAAAAACAGCTGAAAGTAAGTAACCTAATCTCACGAGTATAAGAAGCACCTGCTTTGTTCAAACTCGATCAGCCTGAACGAATAAAGAATGCGCGACCAGCCGATCTTTACCGTGCCGCTCCTTACGCAGAAAAAATCGTGTGGGAGAGCGATCATCGCAAGGCACTGTGGTGCGGCCGGCTACTTACTTGCAAATAATGAAGAAGGTGATTGGCTGCGCAAGCCAGCCAGACAAATAACGCCAAAATGGGTAGGACTACCTCTGCCATATAGTCCTGCAACCAGTCGCTGTCCGCGAAGAAACACTCTATTTTGGTGTCCATCTGTCGTCTGTTCTTCTTATGATGTGACCGACCTCTTTTGCTTTGCTCGCAACGTATTCCGCTGGATTACGAAGACCAGACATTTTTCTCATAGGTAGGTGCCAGAGTAAGCGAATATTTTGTTCAAGTTGGGGTCCCGCGCAGAACTGGCATCACTAATCATTGTGGCAAAATGCCAACTTGGCGTTGTGCCACTATGATTAGTAACGCCAGTTCTGCGCGGGACCCCAACTTGAACAAAATATTCGCTTACTCTGGCACCTACCATATCCATACGCAACGTCCGACAAAATGTTGTTTGTGTCGAGTCATCTTCAGAAGACTGCGCAAAGCGCTTGATGGGCGGTCCGTACAGCTTTCTTTCGACGTGACAGCGTCGACCCAAGTCTCAGTTGCGTAACAGGGCGGTAGAGACGGTGAGTCGAACAGGTAGGTTGGAAGTTTCGGGTCTTTCACTTTGTCTGTGGCTTTCTACAGCTCGAAGGTGGTCCAAGTTGCTCTTCTTCTCCTGTTAAGTTCTCCGCTTAAACCGCTTTGAACGTCTAGAGTACACGTAACAAGACATCTCCATGATAAGGGTGCCCTTCGGTTCATCTTCGCAAAGACGTTCTTTGTGACGTCTTGTTTCGGTTAATTCGCAATCCGATCTTCTTCCCTACTTTGTTTGGCTCCTCCAGCATCGCCTCTGCTTCCGTGATACTGCTCGAAAAGAGTGATGTCGTCCGCAAAACGAAGGTTTAACATAAACTCCCATCAACTCGCATGTCTCTCTCGTCTTAGTCAAATAACTTCATCACCCACTGCGAGGCCGCGGTGAACAGTTAGATTATGTCGCCTTGTCGGACCCCCTCCGAAATGCGACGGTTAGGGGACGTTGTGATAGCTAATCGTCGTTGTGCAGTCCTTGTAGAATCGGTTCCCGGCAGACGTTTATGCGCTTGAAACCTCTGGCTGTGGTTCATGCAGCTTTCCTTTGCAAAGTCTAAATTGTTCTTGGGTTTGAGTTTCGTACAGGGTTCTAAACACAAAACCGCTCATAATTCGTCGAAAAAAGGCCGCACGTCGGTACACTCCGGCGAACTCCGTGGAGTGTGCCGGAGAGCAGCGATGCTCCACACTCCGCCGGAAGTGCGCCAGAATCCACGTCGCATCGCCATATCTCGCTTTAGAATGGACGAAATTTTTTCCGACAGTTTCCCGATGTAATTCCTAAGGCATACCTCCAGCTATCCCGTCGTTACGAATTTTGGTCGCTGCAATGAGACAGCCTGGAGATCGTTTGTTGTGTGAAAGGCGCTTCTCGCATGATTATGCACATATCCATCGTGATTTCATAGACGCTCACAGATCACACCGCGTTATATGCACTTTTGAAATGCGCCAGGTTGTTTGTAGTGCATATTCAAGGAAACTTGAATGGAATATGGCGTCATATATTTCAGGAAACATTACATTAAAGAAGAAGGATATGGATTCGCACTCATCCTAGTATTTATCCACGTTTTTCAACCGACCCATGCTAACATCTGCAATGAAATCGACTAATAGTTCATAAAGTTTTGAGTTCAATCTTTCAGTCATTGGTAGGCATATACGTTAGCTTCGCAACAGTAAGGCCATGCTTTCATCCCTGGAAAAAGCTGGGTAGGTATATTTCAAGAATGAGTGCTGCGCGAGCTCTTCTTTGCTAATCTGCGAACGATTATACATATATGCCTAAGCAGCCGAGTTTGCACATATATTCTGCTTAGAAATTATAGCAAGAGCATTCGAGATTCAATCACCAATTAGTTGTTATTAATGAACAAGAACATGAGGAGATTAGTGCATCACGAGAATGAAGGCTAACATACTGGGTGAGGCATCATATGGAAAACATTCCATAATAATATATACTTCGCATGTGCTGCTTTCAGTGATCATTAGTATGGAATGTTCGATGACCATCCTTCGCCCACGCAAAAAGGAAGCGCTTGTGTAAGATGGAGTAGCTCTGAATAGGATTCGCATTTGCAAAAAGATACAAAACTTCTCACAAAGAAGAAGCCATGCGAGGGCTTCGCCTATCACTGGTGCAGAACTAGCAACGGCGACATTTCTTAGTTTGAGCGATGTCGCAACGATGTCCCTGCTGAGAGTATGCCCGACAAAAGGCCCACGATCCTTCGCAGCGTCAATCTAACACATACGCGGTGCGACCACACAGAGGGGGGCGCGTGCGGCGGGGGTATGATGCCTAAGATGAATTTATCAAGAGAACTCATCAACCTCTTCCCTCATCAACATTCTTACCGATGGTCATTACTTCCACTGGAAAAGTACCATCATGGGCTCTATCTGTTGAAGTGAGCACCGCGATATAAACCATGAAGACGTCGGCGGCTCCATGACTACACCATTTTTTCGTCAAACTTTTGCGAGCAGGAGGACGACATCTGCACAAAATTCTCGCGTCGCATCTAATGCTTTACTGTCAAGACGAAAGGATTCCCAACTAAGATCTTTAGAAATCGCCTTTTTCTTCAATAAAAGCGAGCAGGAGGATCACTGGAATACCGTCCAGTACGCCTGCTGAGTGTGCTGTGCAAGCTCTTCACGAATTATCCTCGTTCGCATACAATACCGCTCATAATTTGTGAAAAATCGCCGTCTCCGGTGCACTCCGGGACTACGTCGGAGTGACGGAGAGCAGCAAAGTGCATTGAACTGCCTGCAATAATCAGAATCCGCGTCGCATCGCCATATCTCGCCTCAAAATGGATGAAAGTAAATCCAAAAACAACCGACTCAGTTCGGCGAGGCGCACCATTTGATATATAAAAGTGCCATAAAGTGTCGAGGTAAGGGAGGTATACGGTGCGCAGTAAGCTTTCTCCCAATTTTGCAGATTTCTACTTGATTGATCAATCAGTATGCCGATAACGTGCAATTGGTTTGGAACGCACATTGAAGGCTGCTGGTGAGTACGGTAAAATATCTCTTTGATCGGATCTGTTCTAAAATCAGCTCAGGGTATTTCGAAAGCTCTAATTGCGATAATATAATACATTCACTTGCTGTCTAAGGCACAGTTCGGAAAGATATCTGTAATGTAAATTCAGTTCACTAGTATTTGCATGTTGCTTGTAGTTGCTTCTACTGCTCGTTCTGACCGATCTTAAGTCGCGCTGGCGATCTAGAATGAAATGTTGTCATAAAATGCGCTTTGATGAGCTGATATTAAATCTACTTTTTTTATTTGCTGAACGGCTCTTTGATAAAAGTTATGGGTGTTTCCATTCCGCAAACAATCGATGTCACACTCGGACGTAAAACCACGATGACCCCATACATCCCATCCAACCGCTTATAACTTCTTTAAAAGGCTCGTTCAACAGCTATGGATTTCGGTTTTGAAATTATCTTACAACACGCATTTTACGCCAGATCGCTTGTTGTCATTCCTAAAATCATTCACTGTTAACAATAGTAGCCAATTTTCGTTATGACGACATGCTGTAGAGTGCAAATGATGTTGGTACTTAGCTCTTAAGTACTCTAACTCTGCATAGTATAGGGCGTCCGCGCTGCGCGCGGATAGTAACTCTGTTGCGTCCGTTGAAGATAGTTCATGACTGGAAAAGCGTAGAGAAAAACAGGCGGCGAGAGTGCACGGGGGAAGAGGGATGACGCGCAATACACAATTGCGCACTTTCCGCGCCCTGTGCGGACGGCCTATAAGCATGTTTTTCGAGTGCATTTGTTTTCGGCATAGTATATCACAGCGAGCGCTGTGTCCACATAAATTCCTAACAGAAGATCCTAACTTTTTTTCGAAGCCGAAAGAAAGAATGGTGAATTTCACAATAATGCGAATTACCTTAAAAGCACCGTCCACTCTAAGTTGAGGGTGTTGAGCTTTTGGCAGCATATAATAGTAGGGCCCTTTATCAATTCAATGCCCAAGTCACGGCGCAAAATGCCGCTTTGGAAACGAGAAAATCGCTTCGGAACAGCGAAGATGCACAAGATCCCATCCATGCCCGCCCTTCCCCATCCATGCCCGTCCTTCCCCATCCATGCCCGCCCTTCCCCATCCATGCCCGCGCGACCATCCAATCACCATTCCGGAGAACTGGCCTGGGGGTTTTTCGAGACGGCAATTGTCGGGGTTTTCGCTGATTCTTGACTTCATATTCGGAATCAGGGACATGAAAAGGCCCTGAAACGACATAGAAGTGGAGAATCTGGGTGGACGGTGCCTTTGAAGGCAGTGGCTCGGCAATTCCTTGAGCCTTGTGTTTTTCGCTTACCTAGGGTAATTCGACGCGCTGATTTCGGAAATCCACCTTTGAGAGCGCAAAAATGGTG